GGGAGCATGGCGAGAGGCAGTCGCAAGCTGCTGGGAGCGTAATTTGCTATTAGGCTACGTGGCATCCTGTCTGCCATCAATTACAGCCTCAGCTCGGAATAAAAGGGAGTGAAAGGGACTTAACATCCATGCCATGGCCTGCTGGCGAGGAGGGGCTGTGGATGCATTTTGAAAGGAAAGAAAGTGAGGGAAGTATCATGCTGGAAGGTTGCAGATAGGAAAAGAGGGAAGCTATGTTTAAAAAAACCTCACTCAAGAACCTGTTTTTTACCTGCAAAGTCGTGTGCTATCAAAATATGAATTAAACAGCATTTTCTAGAGTTCGTCTTGCTGTACAGCTGATGTCAAAAAGGTAACGTGCTATCAGGGAGCCGGAGCATAGGGTTATTTCTCACAGCCTCAAATCCTGTGGTTCAGGAGACCGGCGTGGATCTGAGCTCCGCTCCTCTGCTTGAGAGCTGTAACCAGCTCACCTCTCCCTGCTCCCAGCTTATGCCACAGAGCTGCTCCCGCAGAAACGGAGGGATCCTCCTTACCTGACCTGTATCGCATTTGCTGTTTTTGCCTTTCCTGGCTGCCGCTTTCACATGCTGAGTTCGTGCTGGAAGTAATGCAGCTAAATTGCTTCCTCCAGCTACTCACTCTCAATTGACTCTTCTCCATGGGGAGCTTTAAATGGTGCCCACGGGGCAGCACAGAGCCTGAAACTCCCGTTAACCTTGGTATTTCAAAAATGATCAAGGCAAACAGAGCTCTGATCTCTGATTTAGGAAATGATGCACAGTTGTAACAAGTCATTACCCTAAAAAGAAGAAATGAGCCTTTATGCAGTACGTGTGAACCTTCACTAACTAAAACACATTCTTTTTCAGCTGTTTTATATGCTTGGTTGTACATGAGGAAAGGCTTTTTTCCTCCAAGTGTAACTGGTACAATGCTGCAGTGCTTTTTCAAGGGAGCTAAACTGAGAAAACATTTAAAAATCCACATTTTTTACTTTTCTCTGATAATCTAGTTAGTTTGTGGAAGACAAGAGGATTAGTGGAAGATAAGAGGAACCAGCCTTAGTCTGTGAGTAGTTGAAACTGGTGGGCAATCGACTGCTAGCCTTTACCTTCAGGCGCTGTAGATCTTTGCCCTCCAGGATTTACTCCCAGCACCAGATTCCAGCTGCGCTCCCAGGTGAATTAGAGCTCTGAATTTATAGATTTGTCCACTAATCCTTTCACTGGCACTTTGAATCAAGGCATCTGAAAGGTGGTAGTGCATTTCTTATCAGTAGTGCGCTGCTTATCACTGATGGTAAATATCTCCTGAGCGGTCTAATCATCACAAAACTTGTGTTCGGTGTTAGCAGGGTGCTTGTTATTCACTCAGATACTCTGACACAAAGCTGTTCTGCTATTTATTTTACCCTATCCATGGCATAAAATGGAGACTGGGCTGAGATGGATGCCTTGCCTGCAAGGCAGTCACAAAAGTTGGTGGGTAGAGGCAGGTACCTTCATCCCTCCAGGTCTCAGCAGTGCGGGGCACTGAAGGCGACAAAGAGCCTCTGGCTTGTGTATGCAGCACATCCCCACTACCCTTGTGTTTGTTTCCTGGTCATTTCGGTATGTGTTTAAGCAGTTATTGTGGTAACTCATTTTATCCTACTGAAGCATTGGTTAACAGCCACCTTTTGGATCGATTTTGCAAATACAGTGCAGAGCGTACAGAGTGCCTGCTGAGCAGCCAGAGCAGCAGTTAGTGTCACAAGAGAAAAACAGACCAACCTAGATGATGGCTGGAAACATTACCATGGGAAAAAGATGTCCCACTGGTGCCATAAAGCAAGATCATGGGAAAACAAAAGCAAATACTTAGAAACATTTGACCCCCCTGCTCCCCTGAAAAAAAAAGGTTTTGAATAATTTGTCTCCTTTCAAAGTCACAGAAGTCTCCCAAAGATAAAAATCTGTGGTTTCTGAAGTCCTGCGGCACGGTCCTGTGGCAACTGCACCCATGTGGAATCAAGTACCTATGAAATTGCATTACAGGTAGAGCTGTGAGTTGGTACCTGAAAAATAAGTAACCTCTTTAAATGTATAAAGGAAAACAAGTGAGCTCAACCATGAAGTAGTTCTCAGCTGAAATGTCACGAGCAGCATCATTTACATTCAGCCTCCCCTTGAACCCAAGGGAGTGCTATGTTAAACTGTTTCACTGACCCATGGACGGACAGACTGACAGGCTCTTTGTTGCAGAGTCAAGTTAGGAAATACCAGAACTAAGGTTGTCTGTACAACCTTCCTCTCTGCTCCCCATGTGGATGTGCCACAATACGGGCTTTAATTCCATAATCCCTCGGTCATTTTCCAGTGGCCCCCTGCCTCCCTCAGCGCGGAGGAGGCACAATGCCGCCTTAATGAGCAGACAAGCAGCGGCTTGGCTTGTTATTATTTGGTCTGTGACTGTGGACCTCATTCAAGTCCCACTCTCCAAGTCCTGCTCTGAAAATGCAGCGTTTTGTTTTCAGCTGTTCTACAGCTTGTCCCACAAAAGTCTTGCAGCCCTTCAGGGGCACAACCCTTGCACCCTGCAGAGGGCGTTCAATGGTTAATACCCTCGTTTTACAGATGGAGACCAGAAGCGGGAAGCGTTTGACACCTACCGATTCCTGCCATCCCGTGCCCGTCAGTAGCGCTGGAGCACAGCCCCTGAGGAGGGCTGACGTGGTTGTGAGCGCTCCGCACCGCGGCAGGTCAGACCCTGGTGCCTCCGGTCGGCCACCCAGAGAACACGGGAAGGTAGACGTGGCCTCCCCTTGCCGTGGTCCCCTGGTTTCTGGCTGTGGCCCGTGCGAAGCAGAGCTCTGGTTGTACGGGAGAGGTGCTCACAGCACAACCCCTGCCCTGCAAGCCGGGGCCCCAGCCGATGATTCAAAGAAACTAACACGATAGTTTGATTAACTATTAAGTAGGTATTCTTTATTAGCAGCACTGGATGCACGGGGGATCGCTCCACCTGTCGTGCACACCGTCGGGTTTAGTGGGCATGGTTAATGGTTGGACTCGATGATCTTGAAGGTCTTTTCCAACCTAAATGATTCTATGATTCTATGTTCTACATACATATTCACTAGATTTCTGAGAAATGCTATACATATTCATTAGTTTTCTGGGAAACTATTAGCATATGCAAATGTCCTTTACGCAGACGCATTGAAGGTCTTTGGTGGTCTTCAGGAGTCCTCTGGTGGTCTTCCATAGTCTTCCTCACTTGTCCACTATTTGACCCTCCTCAGGTGATCCTGCGCAGTATGGTCCTTCACATGTTTTGATACATCAGTGCTTGTTAGTGCTCTTATTATCTAAGTTTTCATTAGTGGTGTAGAACCATATGGCTAGTTTAAGCTAAATTTTCTACAAGGACGAGAACAAAGGTAGGAGTTCTTATCTTTTCCGGCCCTATCTATTCAAGCAAGGCCTCTACCTGTGCCTTCTCAACAAGATCGTAAATTCATCAAACATTTAATTAAGTTTTGTGATCACTCATGGTTCCTTCTTGCTCATCACTCCCAAGTACCAGTCTCTGACAGGCTTAATCCTTGACAAACACCAGTCCTTGGTATGTAAAGTTACAGAGAGACGATCATTAAGCAATAAGCAGTTCGTTCTCTATATCACCGGCACAGACAGGGCATGGCCTGACGCCGGCGAGGCATCCTGGGGTGGCGCGGTTTAGGAAAGCAGTTGCCTTGGCAATGCTTTTACATCACCTGCCCAAATTTCCTTCCTGTACCTGCACAGGTGCCTTTTCCGACACCACATCGATGGTTAGGGTAGGCTGCCAGTGAGAATCTGGGTTCTTTTGTTGGTTTTTTGGTTTTTTTTACTATTCTTGACTCTAAATAAAGTCTTCAGTTTTTTACTTCAAGCTCATCTTGAGCATGAGCGGATGGGCAGAAGCAGCAGCTGAGGTGGAACCGGCACAGGGGTAAAGCTGGCTCTCACGGCAGGGGAGTTTCCCCTGTTTGGCTCTGGGAAACACAGGACCTTGAGCTCTGCAGCTTGTGACCACTACTGCGGGCATTGTTTTCTACCAGGTGTGAAACTGTGATGAAATGCTCTTTTTTTTATTAAAGCATACAACTCCCCTCCCACAGCTAATCTCTAGGCAAAGTCAGCCCGCAGTTGTGTTGGGCTGTGAGAAGTTGGATTGCCGAATATCTTCCTACAAAATTAAATAATGGCCTAAAACTAAAACAGGGTGCTTTTCTATTAGATGTATTTTTCCCTTCAAAAAGCCTCACTGCTTCTTTCCTGCTATCCCTTTTTCTTTGGAGGAGCTGCCCTTAAAAACCCTTCAGACTCTTTGCATAATTCTCTTTTGATTTGGTTCTCCTCACTCAGCATCCATAGTGATGCCTGCAAAAGCTTCAGACGGCAGTTTGGCCCTGGGTAGCTGGTGACCTGAGCTGCTCATAGTATTCATTTCACTTTGGTCTTCTCTTGCACTTGTGTGGTGCGTGTAGCATCTGGCGCACGAGGACCCCGCTCTACTGTGGCGCAGGTAATCACTGCTGGTGTGTTTCGTTCTGTTGAAGGATTTTGTGATGGAGAAGTAAGGAACAGTAATGCCTTAGTGTCTTTGTTTAGTTAGGTGGGTTTCTTTTTTCCATAGCTTTGATGCCACCACAAGATTTGTGAAGGAACAGTAACATGCTTTGGTCGTAGGATGAGCTACATTGGACACCTCGGGGTACAAAGCTTTTTCGACCAGGAGTCAGAGGCAGGAGGAGAGGAGCTGTGAACAGGCAAGCATGAAACTTCACATACTGTCCATGTTAGCCCCAGGATGCTCTGAGATTTTTTTAATTTTATTTTTTTTTAATACGAAAGGAATTGTACATAAGAACAATTATGTATATTATAAAATGGACAAGCCTGGCCTCAGATGTTACTGGCAATAATCGCAAAGCCTCTCATTTTCACATAGTAATGGTGTTTTTGTTGCAGATTGATGTCCTCAAGGCAGACGTGGAGAGCGCTGAGTGGAAAATTTTGGAAAACCTGATCCTGGAAGATGTTGTTGAGCAGATAGGACAGCTGGTCTTTGAGGTGCACATCCACTGGCCTGGGTTTGAGGTCAGCGGCAATGACAGCGCTGTGGTGCGGTACTGGTACAGTCTGCTCCGAGAACTGGAGCTGAAGGACTTCAGGCTTTTCCATACCTACAAAGACTTATCAAAACCACAGATGTTTCTGAAAAAGGAAGCCTTCAACGCCAGTAGCTGTTACACACTGAGCTGGGTAAATACAAGATGGAAATAGCAGAAAAGAATTTATGATGTGTGACTGCGAGCCATCTGGCCTTGTAGCGTTATTGAAGAGGACTTTGGCGTCACTGGCTAAAGTTGCTAAATATGCACACAGTGACTGCTAACAAAATGGACTGGCTTTTATTTTTATATATTGCCAAAAGAACTGGCACTAGGAGAAGATACATGGTGCAAATTTATGTAGCAATGTATTTGCCAGCGGTACACTGTCTTGGAGGACAGAGGTTTCTGTAAAGGTTTTTCTGGGGGGGCTAACAGCAGGGCTTTCCCAGGCTGCCCCATGCCTGAGCATGCCAGCATGGAGGGCGTCTTTCTGGGGCTGTCCTGGGAAGCTCTGCTCGCTGAGCTGTGCTGGCTCTTGGGCAGGAGAGTGCTCATGAGGAGGTGCCTTTCTCAGGAAGGGTCAAACGTTACTTCTCCGTAAAGCAATCGTCTTTGATTTGCACCTTCTTTGCCTCGGCCTTGTTTCCTATGGAGCAAATTTTAGGCAAGAACAGTATGTTCTTGAACCCACTCACAAATTTCAGCTGACCTTGGCAGAGGCAGAAATCACCACCAAACTAAATTCCTACCTGTTTCGTTGAGCAGCTCCTGAGTGCTCTGACTTTGGCTCTTTAAGGCAGTCTGGCTGCCGGAGGCGAGTTCAGCGCTTCTGACACAGGAGGCAGTGGGACAGAGAGACTCAGCTGCCAGAAAAGCTGCCACCAGTGCTCACCCTCCGGAGGCTTCAGCCACAGAAGACGGGGCTTCCCTGGTTCATCTGCTCAAAGAACAGCTCATTTTAAATTACCCTTGCAATGGCTGTAGGAAATGGTTTTTCATCTAGCAAGATACTTATTTAAAAGAACTGAAAGTGAAACCTGGTCTTTTTTGATTGTTTCTTTCGGGCTTTAGTTGGATGTTTTGCTGTGTGCCTTTCCCAGTGCTGTGCTGCTACCTCCTCACCGCCTCGCCGGCGCGGCCGTCTGTCCCTGACACGAGGAGGCCAGACCCCGGGTCTGCACCGATGCTGTTGGAGGCGGTGGTGCGGGCTGGTGCCCTGGTCTGTGGCCGTGCTGGGGTTCTGCAGGCTGGCATGTGGGTTATCTGCAGTGCTCTCCCAGGAGCCAGCCTTGGCCATGCTCTGAGGAGCCAAGGAATGAGGGGAGCTAAAAAATATGTAGCAGGTTGGGTTTTTTCTTCTCTTTAAAAGAATTTTGACATTAAACTTTGCATTAAAATACAAGATGACAGCACTTCTGTGTCTTTGATATAAAATCTTTGTAACTGCCTTTGGTTTCCAACTTCTGCAGGGCTCGGTGTTCCTCCCCTTGGTGTGCCTCAGCCCAGTGTTGTGTTTTTAACAAGCCTCTCTCTTTCTCTGTCCCCATGTTGTTCCTTCTTTTGCAATCCTGGTATTTCCTTCTCTCCTTTCATACCCTCCTTTCCTTTTTCACCCTCTCCGCTGCCTCAGCTCTCTCATCACCTCCTTCCCAGACCAGGGCCCTGCACTGGACCCAGCATGCCCAGGACAGGATCTCAGCAAGCAGCCAGAAGTGAGGAAAAATAAGTGTAGGAGCTCTTCCTTCCAGGCAGGCAAGTCAGCCCTCTCCCAGAGCCACTGCTTCGCCTCACCAGTGGATTGAGCCATTCCCCTCACCGTCCCCAGGCTTCGTCCCAAGCCGGGCTTCCTCCTCTCCCACCTCTCTGAGGGCTCCCGCTGCCCCAGGGTGGGCAGGGACTGGTGTCCCCAGCAGAAACTACTTCAGCCCTTGAGCTCAGCTCCCTTTCTCCCAAAAGAGGCCGGGAGGCTGGGTGACCCTGGCCCCTGTAGAGCCCCTCGTGGGGCTTGAAACTGCTGCAGTTGGAGCATCCGTGTTGGCCACAGACCTTGGGCTGCTTTGGAAGATGCAGAAAAAAACCCTCCCTGCCTCAGTTGTGAAGGATGAGGGTGGTGAGGGGCTAGTGGAAATGGGGGGATTTTAATCTCTTCGGTGAAGGCCAGCGTTCAGGTTTGTATCAGTCTTCCTAATCACATTTGAAATTTTAACTTGTGGCTAAATGTCAAACCCTTTCTTTTATAACAAATGCACGCTGGTTTTCAATCTACTGCCTTTCAGTCACGCTGACAGTGCCTTGGGTTGTATGGAGTCTCTGATTTACTGCTGCCCCATTTTTATTTTCCTTTTAGAAGGAAATCCATCTTCTTCTTTAGTTACACTAGGATTTGCTGAAGTGGAGTTTAATTCTAAGGGGACTTAACAAGGGCTTCTGCACATCAAACGCCTCGTTTAGGGAAGAAGGAGGACTACTGATCAGGTGATGATCCCAGCTGTGCCTGTGCTAGTCAGGAATAGCTATATCTGCTTAATTAATGAAATCCCTGGTACAATTTTGGCTGAGGCCATCTAGGACTCTCCCAGATGATTCCTAGGCACAGCCATGGAGTCAGCCCAAGCCAAGGACAGCTTGGATGCGGTCACCTTGTTTGGGAAGCTGAAAGAGTTTAGAAAATGGACCTGGCCAGCCCATCTTTGCCCGTTTGTGTCAAGGCTGGGGAATACCTCCTGATACCATTTTTTCTGGTATAATTTAACAAGAGCAAGTGCCAGATTCTCCACCTGGGATGGGGTAATCCTGGTTATATGTACAAATTGGGGGATGAGAGGCTGGAGAGCAGCCCCCCCGGAAAGGGATCTGGGGGTTTGGGTTGATGGCAAGTTGAACATGAGTCAACAGCGAGCCCTGGCAGCCAAAAGGGCCAACTGTGTCCTGGGGTGCCTCAAGCACAGCACAGCTGGCTGGTTGAGGGGGGCGATTGTCCCACTCTGCACCGCACTGGTGCGGCCCCACCTTGAGCACTGTGTGCAGTTTTGGGTGCCTCAGCGTAAGAAGGACATCAAACTGTTAGAGTGTGTCTGAGGAGAGTGACCAAGATGGTTGTCGTGGTTTAACCCCAGCCAGCAGCTAAGCACCACACAGCTGCTCACTCGCTTCCCCCCACTGCCCAGTGGGATGGGGGGGGAGTTGTTTCCAAAAAAAAAAAAAAAAAAAAAAAAAAAAGCAAAACTTGTGGGTTAAGATAAGAACAGTTTAATAGAACAGAAAAGAAGAAACTAATAATGGTAATGGTAATAATAAAAGGATTAGAATATGCAAGTGATGCACACTGCAATTCCTCACCAACCACTGTTGGTGATCCCCCCACCCCCAACTCCCCCAGTTTATATACTGGGCAGGACGTCCCATGGTCTGGAATACCCCTTTGGCCAGTTTGGGTCAGCTGTCCTGCCTGTGTCCCCTCCCAACTCCTTGTGCCCCTCCAGCCTTCTTGCTGGCTGAGCATGAGAAGCTGAAAAATCCTTGACTTTTAGTCTAAAAACTGCGTAGCAACAACTGAAAACATCAGTGTGTTATCAACATTCTTCTCATACCAAATTCAAAAACACAGCACTGTACCAGCTACTAGGAAGACAATTAACTCTATCCCAGCTGAAACCAGGACAATGGTGCAAGGTCTCAAGGGCAAGACTTACGAGGAGCAGCTGAGGTCATTTACCTTGTTCAGCTTGGAGAAGAGAAGGCTGAAGGGTGACCTGTTCAAGGAGCATCTGGACAACGCTCTTAGTCATATGGTTTCGTTTTAGGTAGTCCTGTGAGAAGCAGGGAGTTGGACTTGATGATCGTTATTGGGTCCCTTCCAACTTGAGATGATAGTCTGTGATTCTGTAAACGTAGGTTCTGTTTCTGCTCCTGCACATCCTGCCTGGACCGGGGAGCAAAGGGCTTCGCAGTCACCCAGAGCAGGGTGCTGCGGGGGCCCGCCGTGTCCTCAGCTCTGCAGCGCTCAAAATCAAGAGGACCTGTTGCAGATGTGTTGGATTCCCCATGTCCAAGATGTTGGGCAAAGCACTTTCCTCGGGGCCAAGCTACATATTGCTGCCCCTGAGCCAGGTAATACACAACTCGAGAGATCCACGACCTCTGAAAATGAGTAGGAAATGCCTTCCCTGTGACAGCCATGCTTGCTGCAACCCTTGTACATTAAGTATGGAGGTTGTTTAACGATGCAGGGCCATGAGGAGATTAATTAAAATGCAAGAGGGTGCCAGGATTTCCTAAACCAATATCTAGCTTGTTGGAATGATCACGCTTGCTACACCGCAGAATAGCTCAACTCCCATTTTTCAAATAATGGGGTGGCAAAAGCCCAGCCGAGAGTCCTGATTTATTAATAAAGCATAAAAATATGGGCTGTAGCACTGCACAGGTTTTTTTTCCTTCTGATTAGGCTTAGAGTAACTAACTAGCCTACTAGCTTATTATCATTTGTTTAAGAAACCAATAGATAGAGGTTAGAAAACAAATTATATGCTCTCTCTCTCTCAGAAGATAAATTTCTAAAGGGATGCACATCTTCCATCATTTATTGCCCTGAAGAAAAAATGGTGATGTATATGTAAATTACAGAAATGGAGTAGCGGTCCACCCTGGTTCTTTGGTTAAGAGTTTAGTAAGCCCTCAGCTAATCTCTTACTCAGGATTGCCAGGTAGTGTCAGGAACAATTCAGGCTGTAGCAAATACGTATCTTCTGCAAGAAAAGATTCCAATAACTATGGTAATTTTTAAGGAAACCTTATCTCAGATACAGGATAGATAAAAGCCGTTTATCACTCTGAAGGCAGTTATCTGATATTATGGGAGAAAATGAACAGCTCATTTTACGCACTATCTATCTGTGCCTTTCTATTTCGCCTCTCTTAAAGTAGAGTTACAGCCTTCCTTTCTGAGGTCTTGCTTTTGTGCCCTTACCCCTTCTCTTTTAATTGATCTCTTCCACCTAGAGGAGGGACCCTTAAACGAATTCAGTTCCCATCCCCTAACGACTGAGCTGCCGAGTGCGTGCACGGGGGCACCAGCCGGTGCTGACTCCATCCCGGCGGGCAGGCTGGTGCTGAGGGAAGCCTCCGGGGGGGCAAAGGCGGTTGGACCC